TAACTGCACAGTCTGTAGGTGGATGGCTTGGGAGATATGTATGTTTTGAAAAAAGAGGGAATATTTTGGTTACGTAATTCTCCATGCTTCTAAAATAAGTTACATATTCTAATAATGATAACCTCCTCGATTCATTAAATAAACGTAGAAATCGTTTAGAATCTCGGTGAATAAGGGGTAGAGGTGTCAATGAGGGGGAAAAAATGTGCATGATTTTTCCTGGGAGTGCCCCACCGGCCGGGATCTTATCTCCTTCCCAGGGCTCCACTAACGCACTCTGCACCCATTTTGTCGTTTCTATGTATGCGTACACTATTCATGGTCACATGACCCCCAGCAAGTGTCAAATTCATTGCCACACATTCAAACGATTTTACTACGCCTCAATACTAGCAATTCATCATTCACTTTTAAGAAAAACTCACTCGCACTTTTGTGAAATTACAGCGTGCTTGAATGTATCGCGACAACGATTTTGCCAGAAACTAATAAACATTCGCTCGTTCCCAATTTATGTAAGCTAGGTAGGAACTTTGTCATCATTGCTAACGCATTAGTCTTTAGCAATCACATTGTTATGCGAGCAATCGTTTGGTTATAATAAGGAATTAAAAACACTAGTGACTGGCGTGTGATATCGAGCCAGAAAAGATATCTGACAAATAAAAAATTCACTGCTAAAGCAGATACCACTAATACTCTGTCAGTACGTACATGAATTTAACTTTTTTTTTTTAAATATGTACCCAACGTATAGAAAATACATATACAAAACTCGAAAAAAAAAAAACAGTGGATGTGGTTTGGACCGGGCTGGGCAGGCTTTCGCAAACAGGAAATGATTGTGGGTGACCTCAGCTACTCTACACCACTCCCCCACAACCACTCCATCATACAACCGCTTCAGCCTTCCCCGGCATGCTCCGGCTAATACAGAAGAATTCTCCCAAAAGCTCTCAGCCTTGTGCTGAACGTAAAAACAACCTACAGGCAATTCAATCTTGATTCACGCTGGCATCGAAATCCTCATAAGCTAGTGCAGTTTTCTTTGAAAGTTAATAGAAATTGCATGCTTTCGACAAAATCGCTATGCATGCAATCTTAATACCTTCAAATAAAATGACTTTGACACTTGGAAATTTTAAGCAATTTCCTCCACATAGGACTTGAGGCCTATTGTTAATTACAAATTGCAGGAAACTATCCATAAAATTCTAAGAAGGTAAAAAAAAAACTTCCATCATTATTGCCCAAGAGCTAAACTTATTTTGCACAAAACAACACACACACACAAAGCTTTCCAAAAGGTTATAAACTAACTAGAAAGGGCAGTTGTCGCCAACTACATGTATCCCCCGTGATCTAGTATGAATGAAATATCTCTGTAAGGACGTAGAAGGTATGTAAAGTTAAATAAGTCACAAAAACAAAGGTTTGTTACACAACTCATCTGCCTGAGATGTGCAAGTCTGTTAAAATTGGTTGCCTTAGGGGTTTTGGTACGCGACACACCTTCTCCCCAAGATGTGTAAGTATACGAAGTTTGGTCGCGCTAAGTCAATTAGAGGCCGAGTTATAGATTTGGAAGGGAAATATGAATAAAGGTCAAGAAATCAAAATCAATTGTCAAATAAGGTTGCAGTGACCTGGTTATCGGTACGCGACACACCTCTCTCCCGCAAGATGTGTAAGTATACCAAGTTGGGTTGCGGTAGGTCAATTGAGGGGCGCGGAGTCATAGAGCGGAAGGAAATATGGTCAAAGTCCCAAGGTCCAAATACAAGCCGGGCAGTGACCTGTTTTGGTACGGCTGACACATCATTCTCCCCGCAAGATGTGTAAGTATAGTTAGTATACAAGTTTGGTAGCGCGTAGGTCTATTAGGGGCAGAGTTATAGAGCGAAGGGAAATATAAATCAAGGTAAAGTAAAGGTCAAATAAAAGGTGTAGTAACCTGGTTTTTGATACGGCGACAGCACCTTCATTCCCCAAGATTGTAAGGTATAACAAGTTTTGGTAAGGCGCTAGTCAATTAAGGGGCTGAAACGTTAATACACGGAAAAAGAAAATAGTGATCAAGGTCAAAGGTAAAGGTCATAATAAAGGTCGCATGGACCTGGTTTGGTACCTGCGGCACCTCTCCCCAAGATGTGTACGTATACAAGTTTGGTAGCGCTAGGTCAATTAGGGCCGGTTTATACGAGGCGAAACAGAAAGTATTGATGCAGGTCAAAGGTAAAAGTCAACAATAAAGATGCGCAGTGACCCGGCTGGTTTTGGTAGCGCTGCCTCACCTTCTCCCCAAGATATGTAAGTAGACGCAAGTTTGTCACGACCTAGCCAATTAGGGACCGGAGTTATAGAGGGCGGTAAGGGAAATATTATCGAAGGCGTCAAGGTAAAAGTCAAATAAGAGGTCGCAGTGACCTGGTTTTTGTACGCTGCCCCCACGCTTCTCCCCAGATGTGTAAGTAGACCAAGTTTTTTGGTCACGCTAGTCAATTAGGGGTGCGAGTTATAGAGCGGTAAGGAAAAAATCTCTGTGGGCGGACCGAGGCGGGCGGCAAGTGGCTGTAATAAAAAGAAAGGAAACCATAGGGCATCGCTCCGCCGACTTCGTCGCGGGGGAATACAGATTACAAATGCAATATAATGGGAATAATCTAATATTTTTTAGCCTACTTTTAGGAGGGGCGTCCAAAGAGAGCTATATCCGATGGCCTCAGCCGTCAGTTTTCTACGATGGCTGGGATTGACTATGCGCAATATAAGTCTGCATGATGCTATCTGCTGCCAGTGCCAGCCCTAAAAAAACAATCAAACAGCAAGTTTAGTGAAGTGACAATGGCGCATATGGGTAATTTCGATAATAGTGATGGCAGACGCACGACACACCCTGTGCACAAATACATGTAAACTCACGTATAATGCAGCAAATGTGCACTAAATTAACTAACTGAATTAAGCTAACGCGATATGCAACGTGCGCAGACTATTAAATTTGGCGCATGAGTTTTCATATTGACATATAGCTTGTATGTTCCATAATCTTCATATATTATTTTTATGGTTTCACTCATATTCGTGCCACAGGTGCATGCAAACTAACTTATATGCTTAAGCTTACAGAGAGACACAGAGAAACAGAGAGTACAGAGAGACCAGAGTACGTAAACAATCTTCAACGCTTTTTAATATGCCTGCTGCCCTTTGTTCTGCACCATTGTTCCTGACTCACAAAGCTGGCAGCTGCTTCAACATTTACCTGGTGAAGGTTTTCACATGTGTACAATGGCGGGTGAAACAGCTGGCCAGTGCCAATCACAACAGACGAAATGATTCAATAGTCAAACATTTGGGCCGCTAAAATTCAAACAAAATCATCAAAAATCGATTAATGGCGCTGTATATAGGCCGCTATCAGAATAGTCGTACTCTTGGTAACGCCGTTCCAATTCAATGTTAAGGCTCGCTTAAAGTGTTGGGCGCATTATTGAGGCAGGTCAACGTAGCTTACTACCATTCGCCTAGCATCTTCCGTAGTCCAGTT